TGAATGGATAACAAAACCCTTACATATAGTGTCTACAAGAGACTCACTTCGTTGAAAAATACATACAAACTGAAAGTAAAGGGATGGAAAATATATTTTATGGAAATGAAAAGCAAAACAAACTGGGATAGCATATTTATACCAAATAAAATAGACTTTAAAATAAAGTTATACAACAAAAGATAAAGAAGGACCGAACAATTCCACTTCTGGATAATTTTCTGAAGAAACCCAAAACAGTAAATAAAAAAGACAAAGTCATCCATTTGTTCATTGCAGCCTTACTTACAATAGCTAAAATATGGATGCAACCTAAGTGTCCATCACTAGATGAATGGATAAAGAAGTGGTACATATATGGATTATGACTTAGCCATAAAAAAAATAAATAGTGAAATCTTGCAATCTGCAACAACATGGATGGACCTAAAGGGCATTGTGCTCAGTGAAATAAGTAAAACAAATAATGCCAGAAAATATTACTAACATGTGGAATCTAAAAAACAAAATAAATGAACAAGCAGAACAGAAACAGACTCACAGATACAGAGAACATTTTGGTGGTTTCCAGATGGAAGGAGGATTTGAGGGCTGGATGAAAAGGTGAAGAGATTAAGAAATACAAATTGGTAGTTACAAAATAGTCATAAGGATGTAAAGTACAGTGTAGGGAATATAGTCAATAATATTGTGATAACTGTGTGTGTTGTCAGATGGGTACTAGATGTATCAGGTGATCATTTATATAAGCTACACAAATGTTGGGTCACTGGGTTGTACACTTGAAACTGGCATTTTATGTCAACTGTACTTGGAAAATAAAAATTTATTTGAAAACAAATAAAATATATCACTACAATACTTTGGTACAAAGTCCATCTTGATTTCTTCTTACTTAATTCCATCTAAATGCTCTTATTGGCAAAGGTTGTTTATGTTGATCACATGCAGCAAAAGAGCAACAGGGAAATTGAACAGGGGACAGCACCTACCTCTGGAGCACTAGTAACTGGTGTTTCTTTTCCAGTGTGAATGGCATTGCTCCATTCCCTAATCCCATAACCCTGAACTGAAATTTATACTATAGTTATTTATTTTTTGTTTGTTAATCCAACAAAGGATATTTTTCCATTGACTTTAAGGGAGAGTAGAAGGTGGAGAGAGGGAAAGAGAGAAACATTGGTGTGAGACACATGGATTGGTTGCCTCGCACATGTGCTCTGACTAGGGCTGGGGATGGAACCTGCAACCCAGATAGATGCCCTTGACCAAGAATTGAACCCAGAACTCTTGGGTGCAAGAGCTGATGCTCTTACCACTGAGTAACACTGGCCATGGTAAAATTTACACTTTAACATGAAACCAGAATATCCAAATTAGAGACTCCCTGGTTAGTGAAAAAGTATCAAGAACTCATGTTTATTTATTGATAAAGGATAAGAATGGGAAAAGCACGACTTGCTAACTTTTCCATGTTGATCTTTAAAAAAAATAACAACTACTCAGCATGTTTGTTCAGTCTGCAGCTTCTTTTCACATGACTTACAAGGTGTTATTTTAACAGGAGTGGAACTCACTGAGCAACGTGGCTGACTGAGGAAGAGCCGGGTCATGCAGATAGTAACCTCCAGTTCTATCCTAGCAGAGAGAATATTCTTGTTGGATTTGTTGAAAAGCTCTGAGAGGAAGGAAGAGACATTAGTGAGAATTTCCCTCAGATAACACATGCTTTAGTTTAAAGAAATCCTGCTCAATTATGTTCCCCAAATATCATACATGAGTAATTTAGAACGGAAGTTGGAAACCTTGCTTTTTTTTTCAATAATTTTTTTTCTCTGCCAAACTGCCCATTGCTAAAATGGAAGCACATGCTGTATACTTAAAGGATAGACTCTCTCTCTCCTGTTGTTTTTTTCTGGGTGAAGACTGGTTCAGTTCTAGTTCAATGACTATATAGTTGTCTTACTATCATATCTCCTTTCCACCAGTTAAAGTGCTAACTTATTTGAATTTTTATTGCATTTCTAGGTGAAATTATGTACATCATAGATAATTATGAAAGTACCAAGAAGTCCAAGAAAAATTAAAACCCCACAACCCTACCACTCTGAAAAAAATCCTTATTTTATAGTCTAGTATTAATATGCACTTTTTTAACTTATTGCACATTTGCAAATTAAGAGCTCTGAGCAGCCAAGAAGAAAGAAAACAATTTACCTTTATTTATTTTTAACAGAATGAACTGCTTTTATTTCGGTATGCTTCCACATCTCAGCAACTAGTGGCCCTGAACAGAAAAGTGGAAAAGTGCAGCAATTTGCCAGGAAGTCAAGTCCGCCAATTCCGGGGTTCTGCCGTGCATATCATGTTCTTTCTTCATCCCCGCTGAGGACCGTGAGAAGCTGCAGCACCGAAACTGAAGTCTGCACCGAATTCCACGTTCTCTTTGTGCCAGTTGTCAGATTCCAAAGTAGACCCAAATGGACTGCAAAGATGACCGCCTGAGAGCCCTGTTTCAAACTTAAATTTGTAAAAGCAGAAGCAATGATAGGAACACACAAAACAATTCATTCACAGGGAGCGTGTGTGCTTACAAGTATCTTCTGTGGTCTTCCTGAGCTAAAATAAAATAAAAAACAACATGTCAGCTGATGATGACAGCAGAGGGTGGCCAGGCTGTGGATCCATTTATTTCCTGGGCTGGTGGAGAGTAAATGAATGTGATTCCAAAAGTAACTGAGGGAAGTCAGACTCTTGTCATGGAAAGGGTTGGGTGGTGATGGTGCAAGAAAGGGACTTGGCAAGGGGGAAAGAGAAAGCAGCACCCTGTGATATGATGGGGTAGGAGGGAGGACACAGGAAACCCCTGAATTTTTGAAGGGGAGCAGAGTGGGTTACAATCTATGGTTCAGCCACGGTGGTAGTAGAGACTGGGGAAAGGATGATGACTTGGAAGTGGGAGGGCCTAATATAAGACTTAAAAATTAAGAAACCGGGGATGCAAACGAAACATCACCATACCTAGCAGTAGTCCCACAGGCAGTGACCTGAAACCTTCACATCTACTCTAACAAGCCACCCCAAGCTAGAAAGCTGTGGCAGGGAGGAAGTGGGAGGGAGGGAGTGGTGGTGGTGGTAGTGGGGAGTGTGGGGGAGAAGAAAGAGCCCCAGGCTATGTAACCAGCAGCAAGGTGATTGTGTGTCTTTTCACAGTTGAGCTAGATGTGCCCTACCTGTTATGATGGGAACCGATTTAAATATACATTACTTTCTTGATTCCAGAAGTACAACTCTGTGGACCATGGTTACACTGGACAGGATGATTTCTTATAGCACAACTTATATATTTCAAAAGGACAAAAAAAAATAGTATCATTTACAGAGTCTTAACATCAATTGCCTTTGAATGGGCCCTACACTTTGATGTCTGCAAGATGTATCTAGAACATTTACTGCTGTGGAAAATGAAGACTGCTCAGATGGAATGGGGAGAGTGGGCCTGTGGTTTTCTTGGTGGTCAATGGCCGTTATACTGTCCTTCATCTTTTCTTTAGACATTATTAAACTTCATATTTTTTCCCAACATATACATGCAAGGAAATATATTTAAAGTGCAGAGGTTAAAGTTTTAAATTTTAAATCTTTAGGAATAACTGATTTATAAAGAATATGTGTTATACATATTCCTGTGCTTTTATATGCCTTAAAACACATAAAATATACTGTATTTAAGCACTGCTCAAAGCTAAACACCTTTTTCTAATTTTACTATCTTTTTTTAGAAGCAAAAATTGACAAGGTTAATATAAGTGCTGAATCAGAATCACACTCCATGCATCCTTCTAGAGTTGACATATGAAAAGATTTCATTTACTACCATAGTGCAGCTATTTTTAACTGGTGTGCTGCAAGAATTCTTAAAATTTATTTGCAATATCTGACTATTTAGTCAGGGGCACTGACTTCTTTTCCCTTAGACTGTGAAAATAAAAAAAATAGCAATAGCCAACACAACACTAGCCATCAGGTGTGCATGCCCTGTCTTAAACCATAAATATATAGGTTATATAAGAGTTGTATCTTATTGATCAGGTTGCATATGTTTGTACCTTATTGGTTAATTCCTGCATGTGCCGGGGTGGGTGGGGGGTGGGAGGAGGAGGAGAGTAGAGGAGGCCAGGGGAGGTCAATGGGGAGAAAAAAAGAAGACATATGTACTACTATTTGTAATACTTTAAACAATAAAATAAATTAATAAAAGTAATTAATTAATTAAACTTAACAACAAAAAAGAAATCCTTATATACAAGTATAGGCATCTGATTTTTTAAAAAGTCGGTCTGGAGCAAAAAGGTTAGGTAACTACCATTATTATTTTTCTGTAAGTCAATCAAATTATACCTATTTTTTGTCACATCAGCAAAATAATAGTTTTTTTTGAGTGTTGTTTGTGTGTGTGTGCACATGTGCATGCATGCCACAGAATTTTAGTAGTTTGTGTGCCATGAGATGAAAAAGATGGTTGAAAAATTCTGCCATAGATGAATTATACCATCTAAATGACTCTCAATAACCACTTTTAGTTTATCTCATCACCCACACAAAACAAAAATATCATAAAAGGAGATACTTTAAAATAAATTTTATTGAGTTGAGAGAGAGGGGAGAAGAGACATGGATTTTTTTCTTATCCATGGATTCAATAGTTGTTTCTTGCAAGTGCCCAGATTGGAGATCAAATCCGCAACTGTGAAATATGGGGACAATGCTCTAACCAAGCTACTACTGGCTAGGGCAGAGATGATAGTATTTAAATGCAAACTGTTTACTGAATTATTATACTATTTAAAACATCACTCTTCAAAGAGGCCATAAAAAGTATAGCATTCAAACATCTTAGGTAAGATTCTTCAAGGGTAAGCTTTTTTATTTTTCAGTCAGCTTGTTTAAAGTTTCACAGCAACAGGATACTTCTGTAGAGACGTGCAGTTGGTTTAGACTCAGTTTCTGCTCATGCTACGCAGAGCATCCATGATGGTTTTATTGTACTCTGCAATCTGCTTGTTCACATTCTTCATAACTGTCTGGTAATCACTCTCTTGACTCTTGGCTGCTATGACTAATTACATGAGTTAAGGGGGAACACTACCAATGAAAATCTATATCTATATATAAGATTTGTTAAGGTGGAACCACTGGAACAGGCTGACCAGTCACTATGATGCGCACTGACCATGAGGGGGCAGACGCTCAATGCAGGAGCTGCCCCCTGGTGGTCAGTGCACTCCCACAGGGGAGTGCTGCTCAGCCAGAAGCCAGGCTCACAGCTAGCAAGGGCAGCTGTGGCGGCAGGAGCCTCTCAGACTTCGCAGCAGGACTAAAGAGTGGCAGCAGCAGGTGCAGTGGGCCAGGATGAACACCAGTGGAGCTGCGCCTGGCCCCGGTTCTGGATCCTCCCTGGTCTCCCGCCTCTTGGTGCACTGCTACATCCCTTTCACAATCCGGGGGCCTAAACCGCAGTCAGAAATCTCCCAAGGGGGTCCCAGATTGCAAGAGGGAGCAGACCGGGCTGAGGGACAACGCCCCCTCTTACCCTCCCCTGCCCCCACCAGTGCACAGATTTCTTGTACCGAGTCTCAAGTCCTATATAATAAAGAGATAATATACAAATTGACCATCACACCCTCATACAAGATGGCCACCCCCATGTGGTCACAAGATGGCCACCGCCATGTCATCACAAGATGGCCACCACAAGATGGCAGGGAGGAGAGGGCAGTTGTGGGCAATCAGGCCTGCAGGGGAGGGCAGTTGGGGATGACCAGGCTGCAGAAGAGGGCAGTTAGACATCCATCAGGCTGGCAGGGGAGTGGTTAGGGGGTGATCAGGCTGGCAGGCAGAAATGGTGAGGGACAATCAGAAGGTAGACAGGCAAGTGGTTGGGAGCCAGCAGTCCCGGATTGTGAGGGGTTTCAGTTTGGAAAGGGTGCAGGCTGGGCTGAGGGACACCCCGCCCCCCAGTGCACAATTTTCATGCACTGGGCCTCTAGTATGATAGTAATATAATTGTGGGTCAGAAAGGAACCAAATAATATTAGTATTTTCCTTATTGATAAATAAGATGGGACAGGAAAAGCACAATTAAGCTATTTAAAAAAAACAAACAAACAAACAAACAAACATATTATTTAAACAAATTAAGCATCAATTGAAACATAAAAGGCCAAGCATAACTGGTTTCAAAAAAGTTCTCTTAAAATAGCCGAAACCAGTTTGGCTCAGTGGTAGAGCATTGGTCTGTGGACTGAAAGGTCCCGGGTTCGATTCCAGTCAAGGGCATGTACATTGGTTGCGGGCACATCCCCAGTGGGGGGTGCGCAGGAGGCAGCTGGTCGATGTTTCTTTCTCATCGACGTTTCTAGCTCTCTATCTCTCTCCCTTCCTGTCTGTAAAAAATCAATAAAAATATATTTTTTTAAAAAAGTTCTCTTAAAATAGAAAGTTTTTTTATAGTTAATGTTATGCATCTCAATCAAATTCTGGTCTTAGAACTATCAAATGTTCAAAATAACCATGTTTTCTGGAGTACCACAAAGAATTCCAGGCCAGTCTCCAGACTTCACTTGATGCTGCACAGAACTAGAGTGCTGTACATTAGCATATTGTGAATGGGAGTCTTTTGCTTTAAAACTAAGTTGCATGGCCACCGGGAATAGAGCCCCTGATGCATCTCACCTGGAAGTAAGCTGTGGTCCATGCTGCCCTGGAATCAGGATTTAATCCTCCAAGCAGAGATGTCCTTGAAAGGAGACAGGGCATAGAAAACTACTTTGGGGAAATGTTTCTTACAACTCCACAATGCATGTCCTCAGCAGCTGCTTCCTCTTACAGGCATTCAGAAAGATAAGCAAGAAGCAGGGACATAGGTACCATTTTGGTAGAAATAAGATGAAGTTGAAACAAATGAGATTGAAGGTCAAAACTCTCATACGACTACTTAGTTTATCTCCTTTGCTGCACAGATATACAGGTACAGCAGTATAAACAATGATGAACACCCCACCGGAAACACACATATGGGTATATATAATTCTCCCAACAACTCTCTAAAAGGAACTATTAACTACATTTGAGATGATAAAATTGAGGGTTAAACAAAGTAAATTGTCCAAAGTCCACAGCATTTAAAATTAGCCTGTCTACTGACTCAACATCCTGTACACTTAAGTCACTATGCCACACTGATTTTAAGTTACTTTGCTACACACACACACACACACACACACACACACACACACCCTAACTATTGTAGAATGGAAACTAAGTTTTATTCTTCTATTCCCACATAGTTTAGCTCAGTGTTTTGTACACATTAGGTACCTGAAAAAAAAAATGTGTGTTGTATTATTTCATTTCAGTCTGTAAATAAATTCCTAGGGAAAAAAAATCACTAGATCAAGTTCATTTGCAGCCTTTTAAAGGATACATTCTTTCATCACAAAATTATTTTGTTCATGGTGTTGCCACTTCCTTTCCAAATTTGTAAGCTAAAAACACAAAAGAAAAATGTTAACCAGTATTCCTATTCACAAAAATTATTATACACACTTTTAAGAGGATAAGAAAAAACAACAACAATAACACAACTTTAAATCTTATCAGTTCTTTGCATGAGATAAAGCTATAGTAGACAAAAAAGAAATTTAGGGAATATTAAATAATAGTAAATATATTAATAAATCCAATGTTTCCTTCAACAATAGGTTTAGTCTATGTTTATTTTAGCAGGGATATATTTAAAATACTTATTATACCAATGAACATGTCAACCGAAAGACAATTTAGTATTTATACCTTTCCTAAAAGAACTTAAAAAAGAATGAGACATGATGGGAATGTCTCCTTAAAATCTGGAAGTCTAACGCCATCAATGTAACATATATTCTAACACTGCCTAAGGTTCAGCTATATAGGAAAGGCTTCCTTATTTCCAGGGCTCGCTTCCTGTCTAGTTCTACAAGCTGTGATAACAGCAGAGCTGCAGTGTGAAGATTATAAGAGGGCTGGTGAAACGCTGGCACTGTTACAATAATTTCTGCATCAACAGGAAGCTAATGTGGATATTATATTGACGGTTGCTTCCTCAGAAGACAATTTTACTGTTATAGAATTAAATTGTTTTTCTGATTTAATTAACCTTGTAACTCTGGGTTACGGTCTTTCTTTTTTAAGATACACATAGTTGATGTTTTTTTCCTAAGCAAAGTGCCTTCTGAAAAATAAAACACAAAATATTCTGCCCAGACATTTCCAAGAAGTAATAATCATTTTTAAAAGTCTGATAATTAAAGCAGCTTTAGTAACATTTCTTCGTACTCTCAGGATAAAGTTATTTTCGGGCCATAAGTTCAGACTTAATGTAGCATCCATCCTATTGTTTCCTCCAAAGAGATAAATCTAGATATTAGGATGAGTCATAACTAATAAATTATGTGAACCTTATGTGCTGTGAGTTAACACTACTAAATCAGACCTCGCTCCCCAGACAGGACCTTGAAGTGAAGGTGGACTTAAGGAAGCAGTCAGCACTTTCTGACAATAAATCTAATAACCTTTTGCAAAGTCAAGTACCAAACTTTTCCCTCTTTGTTTTACACAAAGTAGTGGCCTTCTTATACCGCAGCAGACCTCGTAAGTGCTACATGAATAATGCCATAAAGCAACACTGTGCCAGATGGTCAAATTCCCCCCATATTATACATCTATATTTGAGATTTGCCTTTAAATCTCCAAGTCTATCATGAAGCACAATTCTGTTTTTTTCCACAACTTATTTAAAACATCTAGTATAAGTTCCTTATATATTCTAGATATTAACCCCTTATCAGATATATGATCTGCAAATATTTTATCCCACTCCACAAGTTTCATTTTTTATTTTGTTGACTGCAAAAGGAACAGAAGCTTTCTAGTTTGATGTAGGTCACTTATTTCTGCTTTGTGGCTTGTGCCTTTGGTGTCATATCAAAAAATCCTTGTCAAGACTAATGTCACTTATGATTTCTTGTAGGAGTGATCAGGCCAGCAGGGAAAGGTGGTTATGAGTGATCAGGCCAGCTGGGAAAGGTAGTTATGGGTGACCGGGCCAGCAGGCAGAGGGCTTAGGGGGCAATCAGGCTGGCAGGCAGAGGGGTTAGGGGCAATCAGGCAGGCAGATGCAATTAGGGGCAATCAGGCAGGCAGGCAGAGTGGTTAGGGGCAATCAGGTAGGCAGGTAAGTGGTTAGGAACCAGCAGTCCTGGATTATGCGAGGGATGTCCCAGGGGTCCTGGAGAGGGTGCAGGCTGGGCTGAGGGACCGCCCCCCTGTGAACAAATTTTGTGTACCGGGCCGCTAGTATACACATAGATTAAAAGGACCCACACAAATGACAAGAATCACCTCTTCTGGATGGTGGAATATTAGTCATCAGCTTTTAATTTCTTTATTTATAGATTTTATGAGTTAGCAAAGTTTCTGCATTAAAAATGCTTTACTTTTTAAAATTTTTTAAATTATTATCCTGACCAGCTGGTGAGGCTGAGTGGTTGAGCATTGACCTATGAACGAGGAGGTCAAAGTTTAATTCTCAGTCAGGGCACATGGCTTGGTCCCCAGTAGGGGATGTACAGGAGGCACCTCATCATTGATGTTTCTATCTCACTCTCCCTTTCCCTTCCTCTCTGAAATCAAAATAAAAATAAAACTATTATCCTAACAGCTGTGCCCTGAACAGTGCCTAGCATAAAGAAGGCCTTCAAATATTAATTTTTTTAAATATATTTTTTATTGATTTTGTACAGAGAGGAAGGGAGAGAGATAGAGAGTTAGAAACATCGATGAGAGAGAGTCATTGATCAGCTGCCTCTTGCACACCCCCTACTGGGGATATGCCCGCAGCCAAGGTACATGCCCTTGACCGGAATAGAACCTGGGACCTTTCAGTCCCCAAGCCGACGCTCTATCCATTGAGCTAAACCGGCCTCGGCCAAATATTAATTGAGCATAGTGATTTGGGTTGATATCTGGGTTCTGGATTCAATTCCATTGATCTATATGTCTGTTCTTGTGCCAGTACCAGGCTGTTTTGAGAACAGTGGCTTTGTAATACAGTTTGAAGTCTGGTATTGAGATCCCTCCTACTTTACTCTTCTTTCTCAGGATTGCTGTGGCTATTCGGGGTCTTTTATTGTTCCAAATGAACTTTTGGAGAGTTCTTTCTAGGTCAGTGAAATATGTCGTTGGTATTTTAATGGGGGGTGCATTGAACCTATAGATTGCTTTAGGAAGTATGGACATTTTGATGATGTTGATTCTACCAATCCATGAACATGGTATGTTCTTCCATCTGTTTACATCTTCCTCTATTTCTTTTTTCAGTGTCGTGTAGTTTTCCGCATATAGGTCCTTTACTTCCTTAGTTAAATTTATTCCTAGGTATCTTAATTTTTTTGGTGCGATGGTAAATGGACTTGCTTTTTAAGTCTCTATTTCTGTAATTTCACTGTTGGTGTATAGAAATGCCATGGATTTCTTGGAGTTAATTTTGTATCCTGCTACATTGCCAAATTCATTTATTAAGCCAATTAGTTTTTTAATGGAGTCTTTTGGGTTTTTTATATACAATATCATGTCATCTGCAAATAAGGATAACTTTACTTCTTCTTTTCCAATTTGGGTGACCGGGCCAGCAGGCAGAGGGCTTAGGGGGCAATCAGGCTGGCAGGCAGAGGGGTTAGGGGCAATCAGGCAGGCAGATGCAATTAGGGGCAATCATTTCCTCCTCTTGTCTAATTGCAATGGCTAGTACTTCCAATACTATGTCAAACAGGAGTGGCGAGAGTGGGCATCCTGTCTTGTTCCTGTTCTTAGAGGGAATGGTTTTAGTTTTTGCCCATTGAGTATAATGTTGGCTGTGGGTTTATCATATATAGCTTTTATTATGTTGAGGTATGATCCTTGTACTCCCACCGCAGACTGGTGCAACCACTGTGGAGAACAGTGTGGAGTTTCCTCAAAAAACTGAAAATGGAACTCCCATTTGACCCAGTAATCCCACTCCTAGGAATATATCCCAAGAAACTAGAAACACCAATCAGAAAGGATATATGCACCCCTATGTTTATAGCAGCACAATCTACAATAGCCAGAATTTGGAAACAGCCTAGGTGCCTGTCAGCAGATGATTGGATCCAAAAACTATGGTACATCTACACAATGGAATACTATGTTGCCATAAAAAAGAAGGAATTCTCAACATTTGCAGCAACCTGAATGGAATTGGAGAACATCATGTTGAGTGAAATAAGCCAATCAATGAAAGAGAAACACCACATGACCTCACTCATTTATGGATAATAAAGAACATTATAAACTGATGAACCAAAAGATAGATATAGAGACAGTAAAGCAACAAGCAGACTGTCAAATTACAGCGAGGAGTGGAGGGGAGATTTGGGGGAGATAATAGATCAACCGCAGGACTTGTATACATACATATAATTACAACCAATGGACATAAAACTCTGGGGAGAGAGAGTATGTATGGGAGGGAGAGGGGCAAAAAAAAATCAATAAAATATATTAAAAAATAAATTTAAAAAAAGGCCTTCAATATAGCTTTATAGAAGACAGAAGAGCGGAAGTAAATTCACTCAGAGTGGAGATTATCTGGCTATCTACAAAGCCATAAAATTTGGAAGGTAAATAAAACAGGTGGGGAAAAAAGGAAAGGGTCATTTTGAGGTGAGAATATGAAGAGAACAGGACAGCTAGTCTACAATTAAAATTAATTGCAATTTTTGTTTGTTTGTTTTTACCTGAGAATGTGTCTCATTTTCTTGCAGGTGTGCTTTTAGCATCTCATATTCTGTGTTTAGCTTCTCCATTATTTTCTTAAAGGCATTCCTGCGAGTTGATAATACTGCTCTCTCCTCATGTAATTTCTAGATAGATCCAGATAGAAGTAAATAACAGGCTTTAGCAATATCTAGTAAGTCAATATAAAATGAGTTTGACAAATATTTTCAATGATATTCTGACAAATTTCTACCAACGCTATAATTTCTCTAAAACTATTTGTAAAAACATCCTTTGAACTATAACAAGCTAAATAAATATTAACTATTTTAATAACTCTCTTAAGGCTTCCATATCTATTCCTACCCCACCAAATTTATGTTAATGTAAATGCAATAAAAAGCCACTGACAAGTCTTAAACAGGGAAATATCATAATCAAATCTGCATTTAACAAAGTTCATATTTGTTGAAATGCTCTATCCCTTGTTTTTCAATGTGTACCTTTGGTTTAAAACTTAAATCACACCAGCCAGGCTGGTTTGGCTCAGTGACTAAACATTGACCAATGAACTAGGAGGTCACAGTTCAATTCCTAGTCAGGGTACATGCCCAGGTTGCGGGCTTGATTCCCAGTAAGGGGAGTGCAGGAGGCATCTGATCAATGACTCTCTCTCATTATTGATGTTTTTATCTCTCCCTCTCCCTTCCTCTCTGAAATCAATTAAGAATATATATTTAAAAATAAAAAAACTTAAATCCCTCTAATCTCCTACTATATGTGTAAACATCTTTCTTTTTTCTTAATGCACATCAAATAACCAACTGAAAATAATATATATTAGGTTTGATAAAGAAAAAACAACTTGAATAATTTTGTAATACTGTTTACCTTTTTCTTTTCTTCACCTGATGCTTTTAAAGCTGGCAAATCATTAAATGTCTCCAGATCAACCATCATTTGTTTAATTTTACTTTTTAGAGAATGTTGCTCCTCAGTCATCTTACTTTCCAGAAGCTCCATTTTCTGTAGATCCAACTGTAGACGTTGACTGTCTGAAACATGGGAAAATTCAAGTTCATAATTCATCAAAACTTTATTCCTTTCACAAAAGGAAATACAATGCAACCATTAAAAATCATGTTTTATAAGAGTATTTGCAAAAACAAACAAACATATTCACTGCAACCAGTGAGACAATACAAAGATAAATTGAGAAAAAATATACTCATCCCCTAGGTCAGTGTTTCCCAAACTTTTGACCAATGTGTACCCCTTCTATAATTTTCGTAACGCTGAGTACCCCTCGTACTCATGAAAACGAAGAATTAGGCGCAGCTAAGCATGGTGCAGTGCATATCCTCACCAAACTCCGGTGCAACGCGTACCCCCACCAAACTCTTTCCGTACCCTTGGGGGTACACGTACCGCACTTTGGGAAACACTGCCCTAGGTAATCAACGTAGCCTGATAATAAAATGTGTATTAGCTATACCTGTTTCCATGTTCATATGAACATACAAAAAGAAACAGTTCTTTTTTTTTAATATTATAACAGATGAGATAGAGAGTCATTATTTTAAATTGAAGGCCCGATGCACAGATTCATGCACTGGTGGGGTCCCTTGGCCTAGCCTGTGCCCTCTCGCAATCCGGGACCCCTCAGGGGATGTAAGAGAGCCGGCTTCAGCCCGAACCCCACAGGCCAGGCCGACAGGCCCCACGTGGATCAGGCCAACTTATGTCTGAAAAAAGCTTTTCTCCATAAAACATATCACATCCCGGCCTTCTTGTGCTCAGGAACACTGGCCAACACTTACGCACTATGCACGGGTGATGGGGCGGGGGAGGAGGGGGGAGAGGAGCATTTTAAATAGCAAAATCACCACAAAAAGCACAAAATGTGGGGAAAAGTAGCACTAAATCTACCACAAAAAGGACAGATTTACAGCATGAGAACTACAGCAAGTTCTTGCCTTATTTTGCCTCCACTTAAAATGTTCATGTCAGGCAATTCAAAATTTTCACCAGTCTACACATGTGCACAAATGGCCATGAAAGTGCTGTAAGTGTTGACTTTGGAATTACAAGTTAATTTTAGTGAGTAGGTAAATTCGTAAATATAGAATCCATGTATAATAAAAACTGACTGCACACATGTTCATGTGTGTGTGTGTCTCATTCTTTGTTTCAAAAGCCTTGAGCATCTATCATATGCCAGATGCTGAGGTATAGAGGAAATCAAATAGAGACATTACTTGTGCCAAGGAGCTACATTCTAGAAGTAAAGCCAGGAAATAAAAAAACAAGCATGTACATTAAACTGGATAACTACAGGAGTCCTTCCTTATTCGTGGGGAATATATTCCAAGACTTCCTGTGGGTATATACTGAAACCTCGCATAATACTGAAATCTATATATACTATTTTTTTTCTCACACATACATATATACCTATGATAAAATTTAATTTATAAATTAATTTAGAATTTGTTATAAATAAAAACTAATAATAAAATAGAATGCTTATAACAAAACATAAGGTTTATTTGAACATGAGCATTGCCATACCAAGACAGTTGATCTGATAATGAAATGGCTAATAAACGATTAGCGAGCAGGTAGGATAATACAGGGTGAATATGTTGGACAAAGGGGTGATTCATGTCCCAGGCAGGATGAAGGATAGTGCAAGATTTCATCACATTACTCAGAAGAGTGTGAAATAAGAATCGTCTATTTCTGGAATTTTGCATTTAATATTTTGGACCACAGTTTACCTCAGGTAACCAGAACCATGGAAGGCAAAATTACAGATAAAGGGAGACTTCTATAGAGAGTAATACAGGGTACCGCAAGAGCATAGTCAAAAGAGCCCTGGCTGGTTTCTCAGTGGTTAGAGCACTAGCCCTCGATAGAAGGTCCAAGGGTTTGATTCCTGGTCAAGGGCAGGTACCTGGGTTGCAGTTTCAACCAACCCCTGCCCCAATCAGGGGCACATGTGGGAGTCAACCAACCAACAGTGTGTCTCTCTCACCTAGATGTTTCTTTCTCTCCCCCTCTTCTCTCCCCCTCCCCCCCCCCCCCCCCCCCCCGACACACACACCTTTTTACTCTTTCTAAAAAGTATCCTTGGGAGAGGATTGACCAAAAATAATAATAATAAAAAATTCTCCAAAACCATCCTTCTTAACTGAGGCCTTAAGGATTGGGAATCAACCCAACAAACGAGAAAGTAAAAGTGTTCCATAGAAAATAATCAACACGTGTGCAATGTCCAGAGGTAAGAAAGCATGAAATCTTCGTGTAAATAATAAAGTTCCATGTAACCAGAACTCAGAGTTTGAAGGGGATAATGGTAGGAGATAAAACTGAAAAATTAAACGGATTTCAGTTCCAATTAAGATAGGACACTAGGACTTTATTCTAATGGCTAGGAGGACAAATCATCAATGAGTTTTAAATCAGAGTGTGACATAATAAAATTTTAAAAAGTTAACTCTGCTTGCAAAGTGCTCATTTAATTAGAATAACATAACTATGTACAGAACAACTGGTTAAGTGTTGGCCCAGCAATCTAGGCAAGAAATCTTAGACTGGTGTAAGATTGAGAATTTTTTATTAAACAATATTTATTAAATGCTTTCTATTTGCCAGGCAAACTTCTAGGCCTGGAGGATATAGCAATAAACAAAGCATAGGACTACATATCTGCAATATACAGTTATAGCAAATGGAGATAAATGAGGAAATAATGCAGGAGAGATCTCAAGGAACTGAAGACTTATTAGGTTTTTGGGATAATGAAATAATTGAATACAGTGGTTGAGCAAGGAATCAATGCAGAATTCAATTCAATTTGAGCAAATGAATGGATGGTAGGGTAGGCAGAGAGAGGCACAAACTTTTGTTTGGGGAATGGAGTGAAATGATGGGTTGAAGTCAATTTAAAATACATTGCATTTGGGATACCTCAGAAACATACAAAAAGTAAGATGTCGATGTATAGGCCTGTTGAAGTCTGAAGACACAGATTTTGAAATCATCAACATAGAGAGATGGAAATGGTTGAAATCATTAAGATAAAAGAATTCATGATGAACGTATACAAATAAATTGACACGAAGAATCCTATAAAAAAGAAATGACCAAAGAAGAGGAAAATCAGAAGCTTTAAGAGAAAGACACTTCATGAAGAAGTGGTTTGTAGTACATAATACTAGAGATTTAAAAAAGAAAAGGATGCAAAGTATGTGTTGGACTTACTGGCTGGGAAGACCTTGATGTATCTGTGGAGAAGAAATTTCTTAGAAAGAAACAGGTCCAAGAGTGAGAGGAAGGCTTTACGAATTCTGGCTGTGAATCCTGTGAAAGGGAGTGATGGTAGCTGGGCAGAGAACACTTGGGAAAGGCTTTTTCTGTTTTTGAAGAGGGATAAAATATAGAAAAAAGACTGGAACAACAAATACCGATTTCTAATAATAAACTCTTGATAATGGAATTAGAAATATTTTTTATTTTATTTATGCTTTTCTGTATCTCCCAAATCCTCTATGAGATACATTTATAATCAGAAAACAATATTTTTAAAAAATATTCGATTCTAATAAAATTATTGATACCTACCTTCTATATGTCAAAAAACTTAACTTTTTGTTTCTGACTTTAAAAGTTGCTTTTTAAAGAGAGAGAAAGGTACAAGAGAGAACCAGTGTTATGGAGACCCTAAACTGTGCCTGGCTTTACCTGCTCTCTGATTTACTTTTCATAATAGACCTAGGAGGTAGTTATATGAGGAAACTGAAGCTTACAAAGGTAGTTTGCATAAAGTCACACAACCAGTCAAGGCTTTGGTGCTCAATTATATTATCATCTTTATCAAAGGTTCATTTTTTTTTGATTCTCAGGATATTTTATACCATTGGTTTCTAGAGAGTGTGGAAGGGGGCAGGGAGGAGGAGAGAAAGAAATATAGAGGTAAGAGAGACACATCAATTGATTGCCTCCCACATGCACCCTGACTGGGGCAAGGGATCGAACCTGCAACCCGGGTACATGCCCTTGACCGGGAATTGAACCTGTGACACTTCAGTGCTTGTGCCGACACTCTAATCACTGAATAATACCAGCCAGGGTGAAAGGTTTGTTTTTAAGATAGCAAATAATATTTTATGGTTAAAAAAAAAAAGATGCTTCTATGAGCAACACTGAGTTATGGGAAGAGAAAAACAAACACATGGTCAATTTTGCTACTTCATGCTTCTTTCCTCAAGGCATCATTCTTTGTTTGGCTTTCCTTATATTAAAGTAAAATATGATTAGAACTAACTCAAAAAATGGAAACCAATATGGAAATGAAATACCTATCCTGAATATTAGGATGAAGAAATATGAATTCAAACATGCCTTGCCAATTTCCTTTTCTCTTGTGTGCTCAGTTACACGTTAGTAATCCTATACACCCAATAGCTACTTACTGTATAGGGGTATACAGTAGTAATACATTTTCATCTTAGAACATTTTGCCTTCACTTTTTCTCTATTTTAAAGTGGGAATACATGTGTCCTCAGAAAAATAATGAGGATATTTTTACAGTGTCAAAGTCAAATGTAAACATCTTCCTTTTATTCTGTATAGATTTCAGGATAAAAGACTTTTACATTAAAATAACTTTTTTAGAGTAAAACTCAAAATTAAAATTGATGTTTAATGATAAAGTTTAATCTTGTAATGAAATGTATTGTTCCCATATATATGACTCTAGTTCCTTTCATTGTTTTTTTATTGGTTTGTTTTTGCATTTCAGCAGTTTGACTATGATGTGCTTAGGTGAAGGATTTTTATATTAATCCTGTTTGAGATTCAATAGCTTCTTAGAGCCATAAAATTAAATTTTTCATCAAATTTGGGAAATTTTTAGACACTATTTATTCAACTACCTTTTCTCTCCCATTCTCTATCTCTCCTCTCTTTCTGTTTGGGACACCAATTACATTTATGTTAGGTTGTTTGAAATTGTGCCACAGATCATTTAGGCTCTATTCATTTTTATTT